CAAATTCAAATATCACACTGACCGCAGTCTACTCTTTCAAATACTTGGGTATGATGTTAGACCCCAAGCTATCTTTTGGCCTCCACATAGAAAACTTGCATCTAAACTTTATCCAAAACTTGGTGCCCTGTACTGAAACAAATCCTGCCTAAGCCTTACAGTAAAGGAAAAGATTGTACAGCAAATGCTGATGCCAATCATTGATTTTGGGGATGTAGTATATGCATCTGCACCGCAATCCCACATTAATAAACTCAATACATTGTATAACTTGTTCTGCCGATTCGTGCTACAATGTAATTACAGGACCCACCATTGCTAAAAGAACTAAACTGGCTTGTGAATAAAAACCCCATCTTATGGACTTCGTTCGACTATTTTACCCAATTCCCCACTTTGTTCGCCCATTTGTTCGGTAACCGAACGGAGACCCCCTCCTAGAACACCAATTAAGTTATTAACACTATGGGCACATCAAAAGGATTCCGCCGAACACTGTACTGGGTGGCAGCCATTTTGTGCAGTTGAATGCACGTGGTGAGAACAATGGATGGCAGCCATCTTAACACACGAATACACTCAGCGAGACTTTGTTGTCGACTGGCTGGAACTGTTTTCGGCCAGGCACTCTGCTGAACCACAGTTGACTTCCACACACGTGCCATTCGCGGAAGCTGTCACGGTTCCCAACAAAAAAAAAACAGACTGCCAGACGAGGTTGCCCCAGGAGTGGGGGATTTGAAACCTGGGTACTTTGCAGTCCCAGGCTTGCTATTTTACCTCTGAGCCACCATTCAGCTCAAGTATTAGCCATTAATCTAGCACTGGGGGCTGGATGTTAATTGAAATTACTCCTGTCACTCATGGTACACCTGTAGTTAATGGTCTCATTAGCCAGGTAAAAAAACACTGCCTCTCCTAGAATGCAGTGTCATTTCCTTAACTCTGGTACTTGTATTGCTGTTTTGTGTTCTCCAGTTTACTCCTGACCTTGGCTTGTTATTTTGTTTATTCTGATTTCTGGCACCCTTTGGCTTTCCCACGACGATTCTCCTGCTTTATCCGTTCCTGTACTGCGACTTGGAGAATTATCCTGCACAGCCCCCGTGGACCGACTCACAGGCCAGGTGAATTCTTACCTGACCACCTAGGCCTGTGTTTACTTGCAAGGGTGAGCACATATCTCTGCCTGCCGGACTCCCAACTCAGGTAAGCCATGACAAAAGTCTCACTAACTGAGACCGGCTCTTGCCACATTTTCTCTGGAACTGTTTTCGGCTTACTCCTCGTGGCAGACCGGTCAAAACTTACATGCGATGGTACGGACGAACCACCAAATGGATCTGGGTGATTTTCGGATATATTGTTCACCCAGATCCCAGCCAAACAGCGATGTGACTTTTGTGGGGTTACAGTGTATACTTTTGGGGTGTTTTAAAAATGTTGTATTTTTCTGTCCTGGATATAATTGAGCTTCGCCCAGCCTCTTACTCAATTATCTCCCAGGCTCAGAGGAGGAGTTTATATACTGCATAAATACTGTTGCTGTGTGTGCCATTAAACAGATCTCTACCCAGCATTAAGCCTCGGCTCATGTGTAGGGGGTTATGCTATGCTTGTGTCTACACTCTGTCTGGAAGGATTATTCGCTAATTACTGGGAGAAAGAGAACCCAAGACGTTCAGAGAGGGTTAGACCGTCACATGGCTGTCGCTGGAATCCAAAGGCACCCTTTATCTTTCTAGCCTTGTGTTTAAGATCTTTTCTGGGAAGCTCCAACCCTTCCTGAGCAGAATGCTCTCCCCGGCTGTTCCCACCTCCTATAACCTCAGATCCAGTATCAACACTTTATTTAGTCTACCTCAATACAAAAAGAAAGCAGCCCGATTCTCCTTCTCCTACAGAGCGCCGCAATTATGGAACGACCTCCCGCACACTTTAAAATCTTCCCTAAGCCTAAAGTCCTTTAAGAGATCCCTCTCTACATACCTCAAAACAGAATGCACCTGTCATGGGTGATTATATATGTCCTACCTGTTCTATGTTACATTTGTATACATTGTGTATTAACCCCTTTGAAAGGTAAATCTGCTACTCTGGTGACTCGGTCCCTCTGGTCACTATTCTCCAACCCTCGATTGTCAGCTGAATATTCAGGGAAGATTTTTATGGAAGCGTATTAACCAGACACACACTTTTTGCTTTCCATAATCTTCAAATGTATTATAAAAAGGATGGCATATTTATACAGTATTGATAATGAACTTTGACATACATTGGTCAAAATGTGCTTACAAAAGATAAATGTTGCTAAAAGCGGAAATAGCTGATCTTGCAAAAGACCACGGTCAATGTTAGTTTGCGGATGCGTCTGTTGATTCAAAAGCAGAAGTGATAAATCAAAAATAACCTGTGGTTTGTCTAGTTTTTAGCTCTTGTGTAAATCTTAAGAAAGAGAATATAATATCAGAAATTATAGATAAGAATCATTAACCCCTTCCCTTCATTCCCCTCTTTGAGCAAGACCTTGCTCATACCCCATTTGGGTTGTTTTAGCCAGGGTAGCTGTTCATGGTATATTCAGAATTGCTAGCCAATTCTGCAGGACTTTCATTATTTCTTCGGCCACTATTCCCATGGCATATACCCTGGCTAACATAGATTACATGTAGATATTTTGGGGAGTATAGCTATCATGCATGTAGAATTGTAAGTATTCCGCATACACTGGTGGTGGAGGTAGTGGACGTGATGGGGGTGTGTGTTTGTAGATGCAGAATATCACTCTTACAAGTACATAAAAGAAGAGAGAGATAGAAGCCCCCATAACCAAGATCAGACCTATGGTTTTTACTGAATTAAGGATAGAAGAGAAATTAAACCAATCACCCCAGTAATTATCTACTCCAGAGTTACTCTTTATTTCCTTTGCCAAATCTTCTAATTTCTGTATTGCTAATGTTACTTTTCCATTGGGGCCAGTGTTCTGAGGGATATAGGTGCAACATACTCCTGAGGCAATGTATTTACAAACCCCCCCTTTCTCCGCTAGAATCATATCTAGGGCCATTCTATTTTGAAAGGTCATCTGGGAGGTAGCTTGTAATTGTTCAGCAAGGCTTTGTAGGGCATCTTTAGTATAATTAATGAACCTTTGCTGATTGCAGTCATTCTCAACTCAGCAGAAAAAAAACAAAACAAAAAACACTTAATACTTTTGCAGACAGATATATAGAAAATGGATGTTTAAGACAGAATGGAACTTGGGCTTATAGCAAATATATTATTGCACAACCAGGACCTTGCGTCCTATATCTTTTAACCATTTCCCTATTCCAAAAGTCCAGTCAAAACCAGTCATATCCTCACGCAGTTCCTCAAAACATGGGAATCCATCCTTGGCACACTCAACATATATCAAAAACACACATAGTACATCCATCCCTGGGTCAGCTAACACTTCCTCTCTCTCTGGCTAACTCTACAAAAATAAAAATAAAAATAGTTCAATAGTTCAGCATAGTCCAGAAAAATAGAATAAGTCTTTCTCAGAGTATAAAGAAATCAGTTTAGACACCAGACATTTTGTTCCATAAAATGGCTAAGGGTAACAATATGGCTGACAACAAGACAATGTCAGCTTCCACATCGTTCTTCTTTTGTTTGCTGGATTTTCACCACAATGCTCTGTGCAACACCCCAATGGTTGAAAGGGTTATTACAGAACCAGCGGTATTAGACAGCACTGCAACCTTCAGGACTTTCCAGGTTCTTGCGTGCAAAGTTTATGTCCTCATAAATAAGTATCTCAGTTTCTTCGGCCTGCATGGATAATGACCAAACAGACGTAATTGCAAAATACTTATTGCATGGTCAGCCAGAGAGATTGGTGTGTAGTCCCAGAAATCAGGCGGCACAAACACTCCAGGACGGTCTCTACAATCATACAAACACAAGGATCAATACAACATTAATTAATTAATTACCTAGGCTAAAACTTAAATTAGAGATTAAGGTTAAACCCTTAATTTGTGTAACATGTACTTCTCTTATATTTTATGCAATCTGTCTTCTATGAAGTTTTACATAACACCCCTTTGGAATGCCTTTGTACGGATGAGAGTAGCACTCACTCTATAGATATCCTTGTTAGGATGAATATTAAAACACTAACATATACATATGGGGATAATTCCCAATAAAACTCTGTTCCTAAACTGGAACCTTGATCTGATATTCAAAATTAATTACCTTAATACTCCCGAATAATTCAATACTCTTGGATTAACACCTAAAACTATATAAAATATTACAAACCTGAACCACCTGTGTATTAGGCTGGGGCTGTTGGGTGTGGGTATAGATTGGAAGCTGTGGTTGATATTGAGGAATCTGTGGGGGTGGTTTTGGGCACTCATTTTTCCAGTGACCCTGCTATCCACAATTGCTGTATCTTCCCCAAAAAATAATTTGGGGTCAAAAAGGGCCAGTCACAGACCAACAAGGAACAAAAGTGAACAAGGAGGAAGCATATTCCATATGCAGGTCGGGATTACCTAACTCACACCCCCTCTTTGTGTACCCCTCTTTGTACCACACAGATTTACTATTAATAAGCTTTTAAAGGTTTTATATAAAGCAAGGTTGTCTAGGGGTATATACATATAGGCATAGCCTTCATATAGGGCTTGCAATACTGACAGTTTGTGTCATGAGCGTAATGCAGACATGCGGTTAGGTACTTTTCCATTATTATAATATATTGAAAACACTAAGACCTTGCAAATTTTTAAAACGCAAATTGCTTCCTGTACCTGGTGCCGTGCAAGGATGTAGTTGGGACATATTTCAAATTGAGTATAAAAAGTCTAACCACAAAACTAAATGTTATACGCTTATCAAGAAAACAAGTTTAACCCGTTAGTGCGTACTTTGGATAGCCTCTTTGCATAATTTGGCTCCTAGTGAGATTATTATATTATTTATTAATGCTCTTCTGGATCTGCAAAATGCTTTCAATTTACCCATACAAATATAATACAGTAGTTTAGGAGATTAAAATTACCTCACTTATAAATTTCCGAAATTGTCTAATCTCCAATAAAAATACCATGTTATTATTACCCCATAATCAATGAGGCATACTAGATGAATCTTACTTTGACACAAACAATGCAATATACTTTAAAAGTAGAGTTAACTCTGAGCTGGACAATACTCCCCTATTAGAACTCCTTTATGAGGGAGAGACATCTTGTCCATTCAATCCTTTTTATCAGTAAAAGAATGACTTTCAGGATTAATCAATTTGCAAATGGAAACGTGGACCCACGATTTGAACAGCAGAAGTTTGCGGGGCCCCTTTCACGTGGGATGTAACAAGCGCTTTTCTTGCTCCAGGAGCGATAGCATACAATTGTTTCATTCTAGCCGGCTGGACAGCATTTCACCTTTTGTAAAAACACTAAATGCTTGCGTTAATGATATGCAAATCACTCTGATAGTTCAACTCCTACACAATGGACAATAAAATACATGAAACACATAACACACCAATTCATTTCAAACCATATAACTCATACTCAGCATCCAATGTAATATTACATGTCATCTCACAAAACAGACATCTCACAAAACAGACGTAGCAGAAACACATAATGGATATCCAGCAGAAATGCCAATACAGAAAACACATTCATGGGCACACAACAACACACTCTGTGTCCCTCCTAGGAAACACGGGTAGACACAATATGAAAGCAGTCTTAAACTAACACCTCCAAATCTCCATTCCCATATAGCTATATCAAACAAACTGATTCAAATATAATTTAAAACAACACAGCAACATATAAATTAAACCACTTTCCAGTTAAGCTGCACACTTCACACATTATCACAATCACCATTTACACAGAATAAACAGTTAACAGCTGTACTCAGAACATATTATTGTAAGGTATACCAATTTTAGTTTATATTAGATTTATTTTAGGGATTCTTATGTATACTTTTTTTTATTTTTTTATTCTTATTAACTTCATTAATTTAATCTACTATAGTATTGTATACAGAGAAAGGATCCATTTATATAGCGCGCTCATAACTCAAATATTTGTATGAAACTTCCATTAACTAATCTGAGATGATACTGCATCAACTTAAATCTTACAGAAATTGAGCAAACATTTGGACCAGATCACACAGACATGGTTTCACCAGAATCTTTCAGAACTCTCAGAGACTTAAAAAATTTATTATTCTATACCATGTTTAAAAGGCATGGCAAACCTTAGACCGGTCAGTCTCCAAGAGCCCTTAGTAACACAGGTAAAAACCTTTGTCCATAATCTCTGATCCAGGCTATATACCACAATTTAAAAGAACATAACACATATAATGTGAGACATAGAAGACACAAAACATATGCAGTAGCTGAATCATTTAAAGCATCTGTAGCAATAAAAAGGTTAGCTTACGGCACAAAATAAAGCATGTGTTGGACCGCTGAAAATGTAAATGTTGCTCTCTTATTTACAAACAAAAATCATATTTACAGTATGGATCCTCTGCAACAAACACACAGGGCATGGAAGATGTGCTGATTGGTGTTCTATACAATTAATCCCATATGGGGAATTAACTTTCAAATACTAATGAAGTGACTTTTTGTCTCAGTTATAAAAATACTGAGCTCATCATGCAAACAATGCAACACATTTACACTATCCCACTCTCATAGAAAGTGTAGTGGGCTTATGGTATTAAAGTAACAATCATACCAGGCACACAGATCCCATGTGAAATAACTTACAATAAAACAGAGTAATAAACTTATACTTCTATGCAACAGAAAGAATAAAGAATAAAGATTTAAGTAGGTCTATCAGGCACAACCTGCGAGTCAGTTCTTTTCTAATATACAGTACTGCTATCATATATATATGTACATATATTGGTCACTCAGGACCTGAACTTACATTTCCCATACTGCTGACTCAGGGTGGACACACTACTAACTTACCAAGGTGTGTCCCCAATATAGACAATCACCCAATGGATGGAGAATCATTGTTTGCAATAAAGACATGGACACTACAAATGTGCTTTAACAAGATTCTCAGTGAGTATATTTTCAGGGTTAGCATATAAAGCAAAAAGAGTTTAACTATTTCATATCCTTACAGTCAGCACTAATGATTATAAACCTTATTTAAGCATAAAATACATGTGAACAAGAAAAGTTAACTACTTCATATTCTTGCATGGTTATTTCCCATTCCTAGGACAAATCTTTCAAACACTTATTCACACTCACAACCAGACTTAACTAATGACAATTAGAGGGTGGACAAGGTGAACCTGAAACTCTGTGCACACTATCGTAGTATATTCACTTATATACTAAATTCTCTGTCTATATCACTTTATAAATTTCCTTTTATCTGTCTAATTCTCTTATTAGACCTTCTCTAGTTCACTTACTAGAAATACATATATCTCTCTGTCTAGTTCCCTTACTAGACTAATTTAACGGGACCTTATGTAAAACTGAGTCACATAAAACACATATACTAAATAACCTTTCCTAAAATGATGTAGACTTACAAAACCATGGGGATCATAGATTCAGGGCGTCAAGATAGACACAAGGAATTACTACTCACCCAAAATGGTTTGGCTACAATCCCACTTCTGACACCAAGCTGAAAGGTAAATTTGCTACTCTGGTGACTCGGTCCCTCTGGTCACTATTCTCCAACCCTCGATTGTCAGCTGAATATTCAGGGAAGATTTTTATGGAAGCGTATTAACCAGACACACACTTTTTGCTTTCCATAATCTTCAAATGTATTATAAAAAGGATGGCATATTTATACAGTATTGATAATGAACTTTGACATACATTGGTTATAATGTGCTTACAAAAGATAAATGTTGCTAAAAGCGGAAATAGCTGATCTTGCAAAAGACCACGGTCAATGTTAGTTTGCGGATGCGTCTGTTGATTCAAAAGCAGAAGTGATAAATCAAAAATAACCTGTGGTTTGTCTAGTTTTTAGCTCTTGTGTAAATCTTAAGAAAGAGAATATAATATCAGAAATTATAGATAAGAATCATTAACCCCTTCCCTTCACCCTTAAGGACACAACTTCTGGAATAAAAGGGAGTCATGATGGAATATTTCTGTCAAGTGTCATTAAGGGGTTAATATTGTTTTTGTATTTTATCTTACCCTATTGTATCAATGCAATGTTTTGTGGACCCAGGGCATACTTTAAAACGAGAGAAATCTCAATTGGTAAAATATTTTATAAATAAATAATAAGGCCAGGGGCTAAAAAAAGTATTTAGAAAATTGGGCAGACTAGATGGGCTGAATGGTTTTTATCTGCCGTCACATTCTATGTTTCTATGATGCCAGGACGGGGCCAATGTCGGTGAGTAGCTGTCAGATGCCCAGTGGACTGGCATTTTATCGGAATCTGTGTCTGAGGAACTGAGAGGTGGTATAACAAGGAAAAAAAAGAACTGTTAAACAGGGGCCTAGAATTGGGTCTGTTTCACTATATTCAGGACTGGAAAGTATGAAAAGTAACAGAAGTGATGCATACATAATTACACAGTGCTCTATAAACTTCACATTGACATGCAATAGTGCCTCAACAATTCCATGCACCAGTGGATGGTTTGAGCAGTTATTTATTATCAATTAACCAGCTATTTCAGCAATTTACAAACTGTATATTTTTTATTCAGAACTTCTCAATGTATTTATATTGTTACATTTTGTTTCTGCGGCATGATGATAATCACAGTTTTTTGACAACGCTAGTTCTCCATGGTTTGACCATCACACATAGAATGCTTTTTTTAGAGGAAGCGCATGACATCTGGGAGGTCCACCAACCCCAGCTTGCACATCATCAGTCCTTCCATGTTGGCAGTCTTTAACATTATTTCCGCACGTGACTCATTAGATCCTTTATTATAGGCATTTCACAAAAATCTGTGACAACATCTTTGATGCCCACAGTAAATTCCTGAAGTGCACGGTCAGTCCCAGGTGATTTCATGTCTTCTTCTGAATTGATGCAGGTTTGCAAACTGTACATGACGTTTCCCAGCTTTTTGGATGTTGTCATTACGTCTTTAACGACAGCCACTGCGTGAAAACAACAGATCATATCGTTAATAAGTGAACTATGACACGGATCCAGGCATGAGTGTTATATCACACTTTATCAGAATATATCACATTATATCAGGTCATATCAGGTTATATTAGGTTCTATCAGGTTCTATCAGGCTCTATCAGGTTATATCACACTGTATCAGAATATATCAGGTTCTATCAGGTCATATCAGGTTCTATCAGGTTCTATCAGGTTATATTAGGTTATATCAGGTTATATTAGGTTATATTAGGCTCTATCAGGTTATATCACACTGTATCAGAATATATCACGTTATATCAGGTTATATTATGCTTTATCATGCTCTATCAGGTTATATTATGCGCTATCAGGTTATATCATACTCTATCAGGTTATATCACACTGTATCAGAATATATCACATTCTATCAGGTTATATCAGGTTATATTAGGTTCTATCAGTACCCGAATGTCCGAATTACCCGAAATTTGGCCGAATTCATATTCGAACCAAAACGAATTGCACATGTCTAATGTCAGGTTATATCATGCTCTATCAGGTTATATCATGCTCTATCGAGTTATATCATGCTCTATTACGTTCTATCAGGTTACATTAGGTTACGTCATGCTCTATCAGGTTAGATCATTGTGGTGAACTTGCCCTCACCACGAGTTCGTGGAAGAACCTGCTTGCTAACCTCGTGCCTCATGATTATGGGCCATGCTAAAAGGCTATTTAAAGACTGGGTTCGTGGGATTCCCTTGGACTGTTCTGGAACCGAACCAACCCACAAACTGCGGGCCACCTCTGAGCTTATTGACCCTTGTTAACCTCTTCTGACAGTTCTATCAGGGTGGGTTCTAATTGTGTGGCTGGGTGGCCACCGTTCGTATGCATGAATGCGTGGGAACTGTGTGTCGGCCATCTTGTTCGCGAGAATGCAGGCAGCGGTGTTTGGGAGTCAATAGTGTGGAACTAAAATTGAACACTGAGTCTCCCGAACACCGCTGAACTTTAATGAACGCCTGCTGCTTTACCACACACGTCAGGAGAGTGCCATTCGGTAGGTTTGTTCGTATGGTTCAAACGAACAAATGCTACCAAGAAGCCAGAGTGTGCATTCGGTATTTCTTTCACATGGTATTTCTTTCAACGGCCAAAAGCACAAAATGCCCTGGAACTGTTTTGGGCATACGACCATGTGGGTAGCCGTTCAAAACTTTCACAAGGTGGCATTTCGGCTCTGTTCATGGGATCTGAGCACTTTTTGGATATGTTGGGCGCTCAGATCCAGGCTATCCGAGTTTGAATAGACTGTGGGGTTCCTACGTAGGAAATATGTGTGTTTATGGTTTTTCATTTTGTTACTGTTTTTGCTGAGTCACGATGACAATGCATTTTGTGGACATTTTGTGGTTGTGTTTATGGGCATGTGTTGGGGAGTGTCTACTGTACCAGATTCTGTATAAATGTGAGCCATTTGGCTGGGAATAAACAGATCTACTTCACCCTTCACTCAGTCTCGACTAGTGTTTGGATGATACCGTGGTTACAATTCGGCAGTAGCTATAATCACTACTCAGCAGCTATAATCACTCAGAAGCTGAGGTGGGGTATAAAACACACTAGGACAGGAAATAGCAATCAACCAAGGTGGGGGTGAAGCATAGCTGGAGGAGAGAATAGAGTGTTGTCCTTTAGGAGGGAGCCAGAGACAGGTATGTGAGGTAGAGGCTACTCTGGGAGGCCATCAGCTTTCCAATAGAGATGGATTTTAAGGCACTTCGTAAATGAAGGACGACTAGGGAAAAGTCTGATGGCGGTAGGCATAGGAAGGTAGCTGCCCGCGAGAAGTCCTGCAACTGTGAGAAGGGACATACCTATAGTATGTATGCGAGCAGCAGAAAGGAGAAGGTTACAGGCAGAGCAGAGAGACTGAGAAGGGGCATACCTATTGATCTGTTAAAAGATATGAGGGGCTAGAATTGTTCAGTGCTTTATAGGTATGGGTAAGTGTGACAGACCCATCTGTCTTTAAAATACTTTTATTCCTCCTTGGTTCGTCTGTTTGTTCGTCTAATTGACTGTCTGTACAGCCCTTTCGTTTATTTACCCTTTTCCGAATAAACTGCCGAACGGCCAGCCACCCAGCATGGAAGTATGCTGCTGGTTAACCTCTTGGCCTCATTAGAACATTGTGGTTAACCGCAGACACTTCCTAATTGTCGAATGTCGGCTGGGTGGTCGTCGTTTGTATGCCGACCATGAGGCGGTGGCCATCTTGGACGTATGAATGCCCAGCGGTGTTCGTAGACAATTTGATGGAACTAAAAACGGACACTATTTCTTACGAACACCGCTGAAGCTGCCGACCTCCTGTCTTCTGATCATCCCGCATAAGAACGCCGGCCCGTTTGGTACTGTCTACACGAATGGACTTACCCCGGATAGCTACGCCATGGAGCCCATTCGTATACCGAAGACTATGTGAAAGACTTTGGCTCCATGGCGATTGAACTGTATGTATATGATCTGAGCGCCATTCGGTAATAATGTGCTTAGATCTAGGCTATCTGGGGATCGTTAAATTTGTATAGTGCATTCGGTAATTTGCAAGTTATATATTTTTATGTATTTTTATTGTCAAGCATAAAATTGAGTTTTGCCTCTGTCCTTGGAGATAATTGCATTACTTCCCAATTATCTGTACAGTAGAAGGGGACTGTTTATAGCCGAAGTGTTTCTATTGGCTACTGCATTATATT